TGCTGGTCAGAATTCTCAGGTGACAAAAGAGGGGAAAGAAACACCTTGGTCATCCTCCATATACTGAGGTGGCCGGAGAGTTTCTTTGATATCCATTAGGGATCTTTGCATACATCCTCATCTCCTTAACGACCAGGATTTCTTACAAGGGCGTGCATGTCAGGAAGGCAGGAATGCTGGTGCCGGCCTGAAGAGAACCCCAGAAGTGTCTCTCACAAGGAGTGAGCTCACCCAGGAAGCCACCTGCAGAGCCAGGCAGGAGCTGTGGGACAGGGCGGGGTGTCAGTCACTACTGAAAGAGAAACAGGACATCGCAGAAGCAGAGGGAGGCCCTCACCAGACCCTTGAGAAATGCCACACCTTCCCTGTCAGCTGCCTGAGAGGCTGTTGGAGCTTCGTTTCTAGATGGCCCCTGATTGTAGGGCCAGGGTCACTTTGGAATCTGTGCCTCCACTCAAACAGAGAATGACCCAGCAGAGCAGCAGCACAGTGCTTTGGGAACGTGTGAGCCCAGCAGTCTTTGAGTCTTGGCCCACAAATGTCATATGGAAAGTTGAAACCCATCTTCTCCTGCTTTCTGTGCAGGTGCTTCTAGAGGGAGAGCAGGAGCAGACTGCTTCATCAGAGATGCCATGCCAGACTCAGGGAGAGCCGTTCCCAGCCCGAGAGTAGGAAGGGCAGCTCAGGCAGCAGGTGGAAGAGGCACAGGAGAATGGCCAGGTAAGCCTGACTGGCCAGGTGACAGAAGAAAGGGCAGGAAGAGGGGCATAAACCAGAGCTCTTGGGACTGAGGAGGCCAGGAATCCCACAGGCACTGGAAGCACAGAGCCTTGGAATCTGCAGAGATCAGCCCTGGGACAGGAGGGTTACATTGGAAGCAGATGTGAGGAGGGAAGCAGAAAGAAGTGGCTGCATAAATGTGATTTTGAGGCTGCAAGAGGAAAAAGCTGAGCCTGATGGCAGCTCCCAGTCACTTGCTCTGCATTTGTGTGCGCAGAACATCAAGGCAGAGCCACAAGCAGAGCTGCCCCAAGCTCAGAGTGCCATCATGACAGTGAAGAGGAGGAACAAGGAAGACATGGGAAGAATTCAAGAGGAGAATCTCCATCAGCAGAGGGGCGATCAACAAAACCAGGTGAATGAAAGAGTGGCAGCCACTCCACTCATGAAATGCCCTCTCCCTTCTTGTTTCCAGTCTATCAAGGGACACGTGCAGGCAGAGCTGCAGGACTCTGAGGCTACCAACAAGGCAAGAGAGAAGAGGCTGGAGGAAGAAATGAAAAGCGTCAGAGAGAAACTTAATTGCCTCCCTCAGGCTCTAGAAGACCAAGTGAGTAAAAGAGGGATGCAGTCACCAAACTGGTGGTTTCTGCCCTTCTTGCCTTTGACACTGCAGAGCAGCAGGGAGTGGGGCCATGCCTCTGAGTGCCATCCTGCTGTAGTGGGTATCACAGTCACTCTGAAGGACATTTCCTGTTGTGCGGAGTCTTAACTGCTGCCCTGGACAATGAAACTTTCCTTTGGCCTTTTGGCCAGCAGTCATCCAAATTGATTCCTGCTGGCCTGTTCCTGCTCTCCCCTTCTTTCTTGAGGTGTTTTTACAGTAGAACGTGGTGATCCAGATGGAAGACTGAAACAAGATGTCAGCTGCATCCCCTGTCAATCTGTTCTCTGCCTTTCCTCACAGTCAATGACTCCTGGCTGACAGGGACAAGCTGTAGTGTCTGACTGCTTTGTTCTGTTTCATTTGAGGTGCAAGTGCTGACATCTCACCAGGCAGCCTGTGAAGACTTCCAGCGAATATCTGGCAATGAAGGACCCCAAGTCAGGAGTGAGGCACAGGAACAGTGTCCACCAGAAGTGCTCCAGGTCCAGCACATCATGGGCTCTGAACCTGCTGTCGCAGCAGCATCACCTCGAGGAAGCTCTTCTCTCAAACCAGGGAACTCGAGCTCGGGCAGTTCCTTAAACTCTCCAAAACAGCAGACCGAGGAGTAGTACCTGGAGATGCTGGGTACGTCTGGGGTGTTGCTTGTCTGAGGGACAGTGTGTTGTGTGCAGGTGTCAGCAGAGCTGTACCAAATGCTCCTCCTGAGTTGAGTGTCACGGGGCCATTTCGGACTCCCCAGAGGAAGTGCTGGCATTGCTCCGAGGCAGCGAGAGAGCGCTCTGGGTGTTCCTGCTGCCTCTGAGGGCACCTTGGACTGGCTTGGGTTTGCCTGAGCTTCCCTCTCTGCTAAAGGCTGAAGCAGGGATTGTTCTTGGATCAGCAGAAGCCTGTGACTTTGCAAATGATCTAGGCGAGTCCTGTGTGCTCATGGCCAAACTGCACAGAATTTTCAGCTTCCTAAATTCTCCTCAGACTCCTGACTTCCAACCAGTCATCAGAGCAAAACAACTTCACAGAAATGGACTGGCTTTGGGGTTTTGTCTTTTTGGTTGGGGATCTTTTTTTTTATTTGTTTTTGTTTTAGTTGTTTTTCTTGTGGGTATTTGGTTTTGGTTTTCTTTTTGCCTTTTTTTTTTCCTTTGTGCAGTTTTCTTGGTGGAGTTTGTTTTTCTCCATCCTGAAGGAGCTCTTCTGCCCCACATGTCTTGCTGATGTAATTTATGTGACTGTTACAGTTACCACTACTACATCTGCAGTTTATTTTTATGAGAATGCTATCTTTTTGTCAATAAGAGAATGCTATCTTTTTGTCGGTAATAACTACTTTGAAAGAACATCAGGTTACAGGACAAATAGAGAGCACGTGGTGTTTTCCATGTGTCCCCAAAGAAAGAAAAAAGCTATTTTTTAATCTAGTTTTATGCTTATCAAGATGTGTCCAAGAGACACATCCAAGTGGCATGATCAGATAAAACTGTACTGCAGGCACTTGTCAGGACAGAGCCTCCAGCCCAGCCATGGTATATTCCTCAGATCCATGGCACTTTTCCATACCTGATTCCCACTCTTTCCCATGACTGTTAGAATCCTAGCCATTGGCCCAAGCCCTGCTCAGATCAGTCTCTAGGAAAACACATCAAGCCCTTTGTGATTCTGCAGCACAACCCAATGAATCTGCCTCTTGCCCGTAACAGCTGCCAGTGCTGTGCTCTCAGATAAGACCTGGTGGGGCTGAGACCAGAGCCCAGGGGATTCTGTGTCTACCATCACCTGTTGGGACAAAAAGGGCACTGATCCGCACCTTGGTGTGGCTGATCTCAAGGCCCATCCTCTTGTGTCCTGAATGAGGGCAACAGCTTGTACAGGGCTCAGGCTGGCTGTGGCTTCTTCCCACTGCTTGTCAGTGCTCATGCTTGGGCTTTGCCAGCCTTGTTGTGCTAGCTGCCCTGTCCCTGAGGGCTGGAGGGGACTGCAGAGGCTGGAGCCTTCCCTAGCTGGGAGAGGGGCATCTTGGAGCTCAGCCTGCTCATAAAGAGGTCAGGGTCCTGATGCTGAAAGCCACTTTTGGGCTTGGTTGCAGCATGAGGTGCTCTGGTTTACAAATGGAAAGGCATTCTTTTGGCAAACTGCTGAAAGGTGGGGAAGATGTCCTTCTCTCCTGGGATTGCATCTCCCCGTGCTTTTTTTCCTGTCAAGAGAACTCTTCAAAGGACTGTACAAAATCAGTCTCTGTGCCAGCCATCTGGGCACTGCAATGTATCCATGCATGTTCATCTCCACACCTTTGTTTCCTTTCTTCAGCTACCTTGTGGGTGAGGAACTCTGGCTGGTTATGGAGTACATGGATGGAGGCGCTCTGAGTCATGTCATCTACAAGACCTGCCTGTCTGAACATCACATTGCAGCCATCAGTCGGGAGGTCAGCAATTCCATCTGTGTTTCCAAGGGCTTGGGCAGGATTGTCCAGGAAACAGGGGCTCAGATCAGGAGTGATTTCATGTGCCAAGCTTGGTTTCTATGTTGCTGGTATGCTATGGGCAAGTAAAAGCATCTCAAGTGAAAGGCCTGCCAGTGCCCCTGCACTCCCTGTACTCAGTGCCAGTACTCTTCTCTTCTGCTGTTGCATTCTCGTTCTGTCTCTTGTATTTTTATTTGCTGTTCTCCATCTTGCTTCCCTAAACTTTTGCCTGTCTTCACTGCATCCCTTTCCGGTGAAAGCAAAGGTGCTGGTGGCAGGATTTGAAACAAACAGCAAAGAAAAAAAAGAGAGACTCGTTTCTCTCAGTCCTCAGCTAAAAAGGACAGGAGTGCAGCCAAAATGCTCTTTGCTTCTGAGCAATATCCACTGCAGCAGCAGTCATCCCGGCTGGTTTGCAGGGGACAAAGAGCAGGTGCTGTTGCTCTTTCAAAAGCTGACATGCCTTTCCTCAGAAAGGTCCTGCTCTGCAAGTGTTGGAGCAGCAAACTCGTCCTCACAGTGGCACTGTGTTCTGACATTACTGCCCATTCCCCTGCAGAGGGAATCTTTCAGATTCTTTGTTGCCTTTCTTGTGTGCTGAAACCACAACACTTTTTGCCCTCCTCTTTCTGTTTTCTCTCTCAGTGCCTGCAAGGACTGCATTTTCTTCACTCAAACCATGTGATCCATCGAGATGTGAAGAGCGACAACATCCTTCTCAGAACCGACGGTTCTGTCAAGCTGAGTCAGTATATTCTTGGTCAGGTGCAGCATTCCAGGGATGTGGGTGTGGGGCTGCTTGGAGTGACAGCCAGCTCCCGAAAAATGGTGCTGGTGGCAGTGCAGGGACACCCGCTGTGAGCTGAGGGCACAGTTGCAACGTGCACAGAGGCAGGACAAGGAACAAGCAGTCAAGAGTGGCCTTGCTCTCTGTGTGCCCCTTCCAGAGGGAGGGAGCTACAAGTCTAAAGACTGCAAAGAACAAAAGCCACTGCTGGAGGCAGTGTAAAAAATGGGGATTTTTAAAGTCGCCAATGCCAGCAAACTTCTACTGGGGAATTCTTTTGCCTGCTTTCCTAATTGCACAGAATTCAAACAAAACCAATATTTTGCTTTCTCCTCAGCTGATTTTGGCCTCTCTACTCAGCTCACCCCTGAGCAGAGCAGACCGTGCTTGGTAGCTGGGACTCCGTGGTGGATGGCACCTGAAGTGGTCACAGGTCAACCATATGGCCCCAAAGTGGACATATGGTCTTTTGGAATTGTGGGGATTGAAATGGTAGAAAAAGAACCTCCTTACTGGGACCAAAGTCATACCTCGGTAAGGGGCAAATACTCACTGATCCCACTGTCTTTCTTATCTGTCCCTTGTCCTGCATGCCATTGGACAAAATCCCATGGCCATCTGCTGGAACTACTTCTACCAAGGTCCCCTCCTAAAAATGTGCCTGCAGCACATCAGCATCTGCTGTCAATTTGGATACATCAGTGGGGGAACTCAAGCCTTACACATGCAAACAAACTCCATTCTCAGGCAACACTTTCCTTTGGGTTATAAGTGATTCCAGTTCTTTTGTCTGTGGAGATGGCCCCAGTAACAGGAAACAAGCGTCTTGGAACTGCTTGTATCTTTCCAGAAATGAAGGAAGGAAACCCAAACCCAACAAAGTTTCTAAAACTTTCAAAAACTTTCAAAAGCTGTGGTCTTTAGAAAGGAACTTAACCCACTGTGCAGTTTCTTCTCACTTTGGAAACATGCCTGAAACCTTGGCATGAGAGTGTAAAGGCCACAGAGTCTCTTCTGCTTCTTCTGCAGTGCTGCTGAAACACTCAGCGACCGTGTTTCTCTCCTAGCCAAAGGCACATTCTCTGTGTCACCAAGCCAGAGCCTGGTGATGTGGAGAGCCTGCCATTTGTTTCCTGGCACTTTCTGGGATGGGCCTACCATTAATGTATTGACTTGAGTAGCCAAATGAGCAGAGGGTGACCACAGGCATGGCACCTCTCCTTCTTCTGACCATGGCAGTTTTTCTTTTGCTGCAAAATGGGAAGCTGCAATTTTCAGACTGCTGAGAGACAGAGCTGCAGGTGGCTCCTTTTTGCCTAAGCAGGCATTTTCATCCCAATACATTTGTGCAGGCATCTTAATGTGTCTGTGTTGAAGATGAGATTGTAAATATTTGTTTCCTTACCTGGGGATTAACTGATGGATTTCCTTACTTTCCTTCCAATTCTCATTGTTTTCAAGAACAGCACAAAAAGCTTGATGAGTTTTGTTCTATGGCACGTGCGCTTAAAGCACCAACAAGCACTGCAGAGGTGCCTTTCATGTACTAACCCTTGGAATGAGTTTCTATAGCACAGTCCCTTTTCCAAAAAGCCTCTCAAGCCGGTTTGAATTCTCAGAGAAGCAAATGTGCTTTTGCTGATGTAGTTCCCACTAACTAGGTCAGTCAATGAAATCAGCTGCCAAGGCAAGATCTGCGGGATGGTGGAAAAGCTGTGGCTGCATCGGGGTTTGGGTTTCTGGTTGGTAAAGGAAAATTATCTCTGGGTCTCTGCCAGGGCAGAAACTACCACTGAAGAACAGAGGGTAAACAAAAGGATGTGGGAGAGCCTTAGAAGCGTGAAAGCAGCAGGTGGAGCCTCATGTTTGTTTTTTTCTCCAGGCTCAACGCCTGATAGCCACAGAAGGGACCCCACAGTTGCAGCAGCCCAACCAATTCTCGCCTTGCCTGCATGACTTCCTGAGCTGCTGCCTGCAGAGAGACGAGGAGCAGCGCTGGTCTGCCAAGGAGCTCCTGCAGGTAAAATGTGAAGGGGCTGCAGGTGAAACAGGCTCTGAGGGGTGGGCTCCTCCTCCACTCAAGTCCAAGGATCAGATGAGCGCCCTTCCTCCTCACCTCCACTCTTGGAGCTCTTCAAATGAAAACACTGAGGAATCCTAGACTGGGCTGGGCTGGCAGGGCCCTGTAAAGGTCCTCTGGTGCAAGTGTCCTGCAATGAGAAGGGACATCTTTAAAGAGATCAGGTTGCTCAGAGCCCTTTGCCCTCCACCTGAGCCAGAATGGCTCCAGGGACGGGGCACCTACAAGCTCTTGGGGCAACCTGTGCCAGGGCGGCACCATGCTCCGAGTAAACAAGTTCTGGTTAGATCCTAATGGTATTTAAAAATATTCACCCACATCCTGTTGTAACTGGCCCTGTTAAAAAAGATGTCTCCCACTTTGTTCAACGCCACTCTGAGGTCTTGGAAAGTGGCAATGAAGTCTGCTGGGGCCTGTTCTTCACAAAACTGAATAACTCCACCTCTCTCCACATTTCCTGAGAGGACAGGTGCTCTGTCCTCTGACTGTTTCTGTTGCCCTCTTTTTCAATTTGGTTGGGTGTTCTGTTTTATCTAATGGCAAAATAACTGAAGTAGAGCAATGCAGGGTACAGACACATGAAATGGTGGTGCAGGAACCCAAGGAAGCCAGTCCCAGCTGAGCAGTCAAAGATTTGGCTGTGGGCAGGAGGGGCTGTGGGGGACTCACTGTGAGCCTCTGAGGGGCCCTGGTTTGTGCCCCCCAGCCCACCCTTAGAGGTTTCTGCCACGCAAACAGGGCCAGCTGGGAGGGACTTGTCCCAGCCCCATCTGCTGCCTGGCACGCTCAGGCAGACGGGAACTGTGCCAGGGTTACTGCCAGGTTGTGTGGCAGAGAGGGAACTGCAGGACCCAGTGCCACTGCGCTGGCCCTGCTGGGAAGGAAGGTGCCGTCCAGCACACAAGGGGCAGGGCATGGAAGGGTAGACACTGCTCTGTCTCCCTGTGGAAATAAAAGCCTGTCTTGCAAAGGCAAGGACCTATGTGAGTCATTGGAGTTTCCTGAAAGGAAGAAACCCCAGGGACAGAAAGCACCATTTCTAGAGCACTGGCAGGGCAAAAATCCCAGCAAGATATCACAATGAACACATGAGTGGGATTCTGGGCCACATTTGCCTGTGATGGCAAGGTCCTGCACATGACAACTGGGGAACAGATGGTCCCATCGTTCTACTTTCTGGGTCTTCCTAGGAACTAGAGGAATCCTCGTTGAGCCTGTGAAGCACTGAGCTTGCAAAGTCATGGTTCACTGTTCTTTGTTTTTTTTGGGTTTTTTTCCCGGTGGACAGCATCCATTTGTAACAACAGCCAAGCCAGCATCCATCCTGGCACCACTCACCAACTCAGTTCAGAAGAAGTAGGAGACAAGAACATATCATGTCAAGATATTATCTCCATAGCCAATTTTGAGTAGAATTGTAGAGTAGGATTCTAGAGTAGGATTGTTGAAGAGTTTTATAGGATTATAGATTAGGATTAATTAAATAATTAAAGAAAGTTTCTGAAATATCAACTGATTTGGAAGATTATTTGGAAGACCCCATTCTAACCCTTTCAGAAAACTCAACATTTCTTCCTGAATTACCAATTATTTTTTTTTACTGGTGCCAAGACACATTTATGGCTTCTTCTGAATGGTTCAAAAGTGAAGAAGGCTCTTCTTCATTCATCCTCCCAAGAGCACACTGCCCTTGGAATACCACCCACTGGCTGGTTTTGGCACAGCTGTGGTATTTCTAGTTGAGGCAGAAAAGGCAGTGGCATTTGCAGGAAAAATCAAAGGAGGAATGGGCAGCCCAAACATCCTGTGTGCATTCAGGCCTGCAGCTGTGACTCAAGAGCATTTGGGTTCCTGCCACTTGGATTTAGATCCCTAAATGCAATCTCTTTGGCTGGAGGCGAGACAGAAACCCAACATGACATGTCATAGCCCAATTTCTGTCACTGCCTGCAGGAAAAGGCTACGTCCTGCAGGACTCCAGCACTCAGCATCCTCAGGCAGACACACCAAGTGCTGGCAATTTAGAAACTTGATCCTCTGCCTTGTACTAAAAGACAGCACCTCCCACAACGGGCACTAATAGGTACAGAGTATTGTGATGTGACCCCTCCATGGAGCTGGTGGACTCACCATCCCTGCAAGCCTTTGAAAGAAGACTGGATGTGGCACTCGGTGCCGTGCTTTAGTTGAGGTGTTAGGGCATGGGTTGGACTCCATCATCTTAAAAGCATCTGTCTTCCAAGCAAATGATTCTGTGATTCTGTCACTGAGGGAGCTTTCCCTGCAGCCCTGGAAAGGGCTGTGGGGGCCCTTGGCCAAGGACGGGGATCAGGGCTCAAAGAAAAGGAGCAAAGGGCTCAAGGCGAAGGCCGAGAGGGCAGAGTTGCCACAGCGCGGCCCTGAGCCAGCCTCATGTCCTCCTCCTCAAGCTGCGCCCTCTGCGCTGCTCTTTGCGGCGCCGCCGGCTCCTCTCGCTGCGGGGCTCCAGGGCGTGCTGGGGGCCGGGCCCCTCATCTTCGGGAAGCGCCGGAGCCTCGGAGGCGAGCGGCTGCTGCTGTGGCCGGCAGGGGAGAGCTGCGGCCGCGGCTCCAGGCACAGCGAGCTGCCGCTGTGGCCGGCTCCTGCCGCGGCTCCTGCCTCTGCTCCGGCCTCTGCTCCTGTCCTGTGCGCACAGACACGGCCGAGGGCTGCCCGGCAGCTCCGTGCCGCTCCGCAGCGGGCCCGGCTGGGCTGCTGCCCTCTGCGGCCTCTGCCCGCTGCTGCCGGCCCCACCGCGCTCCCGCCTGCCTCTGCCGCAGCCGGGCCCACACGGGGGGCAGCACATTGCAGCCGGCTCGGAAAAGCCCTGCCCGCAGAGCGCCCGCCACAGCCTCGGCCTCAGGGCACAGGCTGCCGGCGTCCTCGCAGCTGCGAGCCGGCCCGGGCCGCCTGCCGGCCTCGGCCACAGCTCCCGCCCGTGTCTCCATGGCTGCGGCTGCTCGGCACAGCGGGCTGAGCACAGCCAGTGCCAGCAGCAGCTACTCATGGGCCCAGGCTCCGGGCGCTCCGAACCCGCCCAACCCCGAATTCCAGCCCTGAGAGGCTTGGCGTCCCCCTGGGGACAGCAGAGTCGGCTGCTGAGCTCAGCCCATGGTGACACCACCAAGTGACCAATGGAAAATTCACCAAATCCTCATCAGAGACAAGAGAAAACTCCCATGTGCCTGACAGCCTGAAGCAACTGCCAATTACGGATCATTCCATCCATGTGGGAAAGAAACCCTTTGCATTAAAGCAGAAAAGAGTTATCTAAAAGGAGATCAGGAACAAAGTTATTTGGACTCATACTTCTTTTGTCT